ATCATACTTCAAGGAAGAAAATTCAATATAATTCGTTTTGTATTGAGGATCCAAAACTATAACAACGGTTAGTACAAGGAACATGTTCTTCCAGTACTTCTCAAACTTCTTTAGCGTCCTCCGAGATATGATTCTAACAAGTTTATCTGAATTTATGAATTCTTTTATAAAACTTGCTTGTAATTCTTGAAGATTATGAACATAGATGCCTGCACTAGCATGTCTTGTCTCAAAAAGAACTTCAGCAACATCGACAAGTTTACAAATATCTCTTAACTTTCTTCCACTCTTCAACAAATGGGATATCACGATCCTGCAATGATCTGTTTCTAAATACTGTCCTTTAGCCTCCAACTCCAATGCCTCTTGTAGGTTGTGTAATGGCATATTCCATAATAATGACGAGTTTCCCCAGTAGAATATAGTGAACTTTTCAAATAATACATTCAATATTCTAAAATACCTATACCACATCCCAAAATTTCTTGTTCTTTCGTTTCATCTTGGATCTTTTGATCTTGGCATTTGTATCTTTAAATAGGAATTATATATCTTTTTGTGTACGGATGATGGTGATCGAATGAATAAATATATTAGTGAATGAAAGATAGAATACTTATGTCATTTTACTCGCGACTTGTTTAAATGAACTAAAAAAATTGTATTGTACCAAACGCTTATTGTGGTTATAAGGTAACCACACTTCATATTAATCATACGTTACATAAAATCCACTTATATTACTCGCTTTTCCATCACTCATTTCAAAAGACCTTCCACTTCTTTTAGCAAAATCAACTGTTTAACTTCCCCAAACAAGCACTGAATGTCAATGTAAAAATGACTCGATTTTTGTAAGGTTAGAGAAGCTATTTATAGGTCAATTTATCTTGATCTACTCTAGTTCATTTTTTATGGTAAAAAGCACACTGAAGTAGAACAAACTAATCCTCACTCAACTCAATTAATAGAACTTAATAACTTAACACTTGTTTGACAAGACCTCTACTTGTAAAAAAAAAAAAAAGTTGACAATTTTAAAAAGCCCATTGAACCAGACAAATCATTTTCAAAAAATTATCCAAAAATATCGATAATCTCGTACACAGCTTTGATGTTTTAAAAGCCGAACCAAACAAGCCATTAAACAACTCGACATTTGGCTTTCTTTGAGGGACTTAGAGTTCACAACATTTCGATATTATACCCTATATTTAATTTCTGAGAGAAGAGCCTATTAGAAGCATCGAACATGAACAATTACCCTCTATAGAGTCTTACAATGCCCAGTCAACCAATAGCCAACACAATGA